CTCCACCATGTGGCTGCTGGCGTACTCCGGGCCGACGAAACCTGGAATACGTGGGAAGTGCTCAGTCACCCTGGTGCTCCTTGCCAGGCTTCTGCTGTCATGCTTCTTCCACTTGGAATTTAACATCCTCTACAGCAATGCCCCCCCCCCCAACCTCTGAGCTTCCCTCTCACTGCCTCAGTCTGGTCAGAGCCCTCCCCCTCCAAGAGGTCAGCTGGCCCCTGCCCCCAGGTGTTCTCTTCCGGCAAGAATCTCCTGGGCTGAGATCCTCCACCCACCCTCCAACACACTCTGAGCAGCCTGGGAGGGGCAATGGAGGGAGGAAGGAACAGGCCCTCCTGGGCCCAGGTCCTTTTCTTCCTATTCTAGTAGCTGCTAGTCCTCAGGATGCCAAGCAGATTCATCTCCTGTCACTTTTTTAAAAAAAATATTATTTTAGTTGTAGATGGACACAATACCTTTATTTTTAAAATTTCTTATGTGGTGTTGAGGATCAAACCCAGTGCTTCACACATGCGAGGCGAGCGTCTACCACTGAGCCCCAGCCCAAGCCCCTCCTGTCACTGGTTTTGATGGTCTGGTTCCAGCCCACTGTCCCACTGCCACCCTTCCCCACTTAAGTGCCTGCTCTGTGCTGGATGTGGGGTTCCTGTGCACATTTGTTGGCTCTGTGTTATGTCCTTGACCCCCACCCAATCCCGCTGGACTGCACTGGCCCTTCTAAATCCTGTTTGGATTAGCGTGGAGGCCTCTCCTGCTGGCAACCTGGTGACAGTCGCAGCCACACACAAGCCCCGCCCCCTCCTGCTGCCAGCCTTGGTCCTGCTCACAACCACCTCTTACCACATTCTACCCACTCAACAGCTGCTGTTCATCTCTGAATTTGACGAGACAAGAAATAGTCATGTTTAGGGCATAAAACACAAGTTTAACAGACTGTCTACCACAGAGGAACAAGAAAATATAAACCTCAGAAAAAAGATAGGAATCCCCCTGGAAGTATTTGAGAACAGAAAATAGAAAAGATGTCAGAATAAACTCCACCAATATTCCTCAAAGCCAGAAGGCCATTGATCAACCACCAAGTGCCAGCTGTGTGCCAGACTCAGGAATCCCAGGACTAGGGGATGGTGATCTCAGGCCTCTTCATCCCACAGAGGAGCAGCAGCTGGGAGACAGGGAGTGGCCTGCCCAAGATCACTGGCCCTGAGGGCAGGTACAGGGATGCAGGCAAATGACTTTAATGTGTGCTCTGAATCCTCCAGAAAACCAGAGGTCAGGCTAGGGCAAAGAGCCAGGTACTCAGCACAACATACAAAAGGCAGTCAGGGAGACGTCAGACAAACAGGAGACCAAGGACCATAAGGCCGAGTATCGTCCCTGACAAAGTTAAATCCCGCTGCAGAGCAGCTGATGGTACCTCACACTGGTCAGGATGGCTGCTGTGAAAAACAAAAACAAAAAGAAATCCAGAAAATAGCCACTGTTGGACAGCATATGGAGAAACTAGAAGCCTTGTGTGCTGCTGATGGGAATGTCAACAGCTGGCTGTGGTGGAAAACAGTATGGTGGTCCCTAAAAAATTAAACATAGAACTACCACAAAGCCCAGCAGTCTCACTTCTGGGTAAATATCAGGAAGAACTGAAAGCAGGACACTCCAGTGTCCACTGGCAGACAAACAGTTAAACAAAATATGGTCTTCCCATACAACAGAATACCATTTGACCTTCAAAAAAGGAAATCCTGACACATGCTACAACATGGATGAATCAAGGACATTATACTAGTGTAATAAGCTAATTGCTGAAGGTCAAATAATGTATGATTCTGCTTGATGAGGTACCAAGTTGCTGAAGGCACAGAGAAGAAAAGGAGAATGGTGGTTTCCAGGGATTGTGGGGGACAGGGAACTACTATTTAATGGGAACAGTTCCACTTCTGCAAGATGAGAAGAGTTCTGGTGAAGGATGGGTGACTGTGTGACATCAGGAATGGATCTAATACCACTTCACTGTATACTCAAAAATGGCAAGTCTTTGGGATGTGTATACTGACTGGTACAAGTAAATACAAAATGACATTTAAAAAACAATGAGTGGGACAGAGACAGCTACTTTGTAAGAAGTCCCATGCAGTTGTGACTGGCAGTGCTTAGTGCATGGGTTCCCCACGTGTCCCCTGCACACAGGGGCACAGCCAAAGGGAAACCAGATTCCAGAGGGAGGAGTCTCAGCAGGACTCACAGATCTGGATGAGGAAAGTAAATAGGGTGCAGAGGACCGGAGTCCTCCAATTTAACACAAGGACTGGAACCAACATAGACAAACGCCATCTAGGCCAAAGGAACCCTCAGTACCTGCTGAGCAGTGGTCCTAACCCACGATCTGTTCCCTGACCACAGTGCAATAAACCCAGCAATGATTGCTGGGGTGTGGGGGGATCCCAAAAGCCTGAGCCAATGGGATTTCTAAAAACCCAATACCAAAAAGTCCAGAAACCGCAAACACAGAAATTCCAGAAAATGTCCACAATTAGCTCAAGACAGACAGACAGACTCAGGGGTTCAGCCAAAATGCCAAGCAAAGGACTGAGCACACTCCCTCCTAGACCAGAAAGCACAGGATGACGGGAGCAGGGTAAAGCAGAGTAAGTAAACTTAAGAACTTGTTCCTTTGAGGGGAGGGATATTAATGACATTAACCACTGTTCATTCTGATCAAGAAATAACATCAAAATACCAATTTGCAGAATTGGATTGAAAAAACGCATATAGCCACAAAGTAGAGGGAATTAGAAAATAAGGACGTCATCTTGAGAGGCTCCTCAACTTGCAATGGGGCCACATCCTGACGACCTCATCCAAGCTAAAATGACTCCAGGTGGAAAGACACACAATGCTCCTGCCCGTGGAATGGCCTGGCGAAGCCATAAGGCATACGTGATGGTGACAACTGTTCCCACTACTGATTATGAGCTGCCTGAGAGCTGTGCTTGCTGCTGCTGCCCAGCACTGCAGAAGCCGGGGCTGCTCATCTAGACTGGGAAAGGCCCAAATGCAAAATTCGAAGCGTTGTCTAGGAAATGCAGATCACTTTTGCATCATTGTAAAATGGAAAAATTTTAAACCATAAGTCAGGAACCGCCTAGACAATGATATGTTCAATAAAATGGACAAGTTCATAGGCAAGCAAAACATAAAGCAACCTCAATGCATAAGAAGATACAGATATCCTAAGCAGACCTAAGGCCATGAAAGATGGCCATATTCTCTAGATGACTTATTACCTAACGCAGAGTAGATGCTGTGTAAATAACTGTTACACCATACTGATTAGGGAATAATGATGAGAAAAAGCCTGCAAATGTTTGGTACAGATGCAATTAAAAACATCATGAGGTTAGTTGTGGCAGAAGCAGAGCGAGGATGCGGAGGGCTGTTTATGTGGCGCAGGTTTCACTGGGTGGGCACTGTGGACGTCTGATGCCAATCACCTTGTTGCAGAGTGCTGTCCTGTGCTCTGTAGGGCAGCCTCAATAGGTTGCTTAGCAGCACCCAGGGCTTCTAGCCTTCCCTGCCATGACACAGTGTAACTACCTATGCAGTGTGACAGGTGGAAGGTACCAGAAGTTTGGCTCTTTTCCTGTCACTCCCTCCTCCAGCTGCCTAGCCGGCAGCCATTTTCATACAGCAATGACTCATCATCTGGTAGCAGTGAGACTCACGCCTCACACACCAACCTGGAGCCTTAGTCACCAAATTGCTGTTTAAGGGACTCTGAGTTCTGGGTCTCTTCCCCCACCACTGGGGGCTTTGCTCAGTGAAAACAAGAGCTGCTTTTAATCCTCACAGTACCACAGGCATGATTATGCAAATATGTATCTGGTTGGGTAAATTGCTCACCTCCCCTTCCCAGAATCTGGCTCAGGATAACCCTTCCGACAGTGTATGTGTGTGTGTGTGTAGGGGAGGGGGTCTAGGTCAGCACTGCCCAGGTCAGCTGTACTCCAGTCTCCAAGGGAGGGAGGGAGGCAGGCAGGCAGGCAGCCCCAGGCCATGGCTAGGCTACTCTGCGTCCCTGCCTCACTGGTTTCACAATCTCTCCACTGACTTGCTGACCTGAGAGTCCAGGTGAAGGGGGTTCAGGCTGGCATACGTTGGGGGGCAGTGCCAGTATGGCCTGATGAGGTCTTTGGCAGGTGTGCAGGGGTCAGAGAAGTGGGCTACCCTTTCTAGCTGTGGAGGGTAGAGTAGGGGGAGAGAGGTGCTGTTGGAACAAAATGAGCAGCCCTGGGATTCCTAATGGGGACTGCACTGACACGATGCTCAGGCTCGCAGGGTCCTGTGTGGTCCTTAATGTGTCTCCCTGGCTCCTGCTCTGGCAAAGTGGCTTAGAAGCTGTGACTTACATGATGGCAAAAGTGACATCTTTTGGATGTCTAAGAAACACTGAAATAAAATCACCGTTAAGAAAAAAACCCTAACCTCTGAAAAAGAAGTTCATTGTGTTAATAAGGTCTTGTTAGGGTCAGTAACCTGAATATGGTTGCTGTGTGGAATGACCTTCACCCAGGGGCAACAGTACCAGCCCCAGTGCATCCTGTCCTGGAGTAGGGAGGGCTGTGACCAGAGCGTCCCTCCAGAGGCTCTTTCTGTGTGTATGTGTGCACATGCAATGTGGCGTGTGTGCCTATGGCATGTGTAGTGTGTGTAGGACACGGGCTGTATGTGTAGTGTGTGGTATACGAGATTGTGAGGTGTGTGATGTGCAGTATGTATGTGAGTGAGGTGGTGTGTGTGAGATGCGTGTAGATGTGTGTATATGGTGTGGCTGTGTTGTATGGTGAGAGGCATGTGTGTTTTGGCATGTGTGTGCTATGTGTGTTTGGAGGAGGTGGAGGAGAGAGTGAGCAGCCCAAGAACTGCTCTGGATTATGTGCTGGAAACAGAGCCCTGTCACCTTCATCCTCTTTACTTGCCACTAAGAGATTGAAGGGCAGGGCTGAGGCACAGCCGGAGTCAGTACAGTGGATGGTCTCCCACAGGTTTCCCCTCCCGCTCTTTCCCTTTGCTAGTCATCTTGGCTGGAATCTCCTTTTTCAGGAGGTCAATCAGAGTCCCTGGTGGGGTAAGAAGCTCTGACAGGGTTCTTCCAGTCCCTCAGGAGTCCCCTGAGCTCTACCATCCACAGGTGCCACCCCTACAAGGGGCAGACACCCAGCTCAAACATGATGGGTTCATGTGATTGCTAAGCATACCCCATGGGTTCCATTTAGGGGCTCAAAAGGTGTCAGGAGTGTGATGGAGGTGTTCTCCATGACCTGTAGGTTTGTCTCTGGAAGCCAAATATTTCCAGACAAGAGGAAAGTCTCACTTTTCCTCATGTGCCAGCAGGAAAGTGACTGTCCATCCTGGGACAATTCTCGTGGCTAGGTCTAGGCCAGGGTTCACTGAGGGCACGGCTCAGAACGCTACACAGAGCCTCTAGAAGAACTGTGCTCTGGGCTGGGTGTGGTGGCCCATACCTGTAATCCCCAGTAGCTTGGGAAGCTGAGGCAGGAGGATCTCTAGTTCAAAGCCAGCCTCAGCAACTTAGTAAGGCCTTAAGCAACTCAGTGAGGCCCTGTCTATAAATAAAATATAAAAAGGGCTGGAGATGTGGTTCAGTGCTTAAAGCACCCCTGAGTTCAATCCCTGGTACCAAAAATAAATACTGTGCTTGGGGCCTCAGGGAGGAGGTGCTGGCAGGCAAGCCCAGGGCTTCATTCCCAGACGCAGCATTTTCATTGAAATTGACACACATGTGGCACCCATGTCACACACTGCCAGATGCCAGTTTTAACTGATCAGAAGTTATGAAATTGGTTCATTATATGGGGAGAAGGAATCAGAAGAGATTATCCAGTGAGCTCTTTGCCTGCAGTGCGGATTCCACTTGAAACATTTCCCTGTGCCGCTGTGTCTTCACCGTCCTGGCCTGGACTGGCACTATGCATACTGAGTGGCATGCACCCATGGAAGGAAGACAAAACCCCAGGAATTTCTTCCTGCAGCTAACCACACAGTGCTGGTAAACAAACACTGAATTGATCAGCAAGTATGAACCCCGCAGATCTGGATTCTGGGATTAGAACCTTCCAGGTTTAAAGCAGCACCATACCTATTGCTATACATTTCCATGATGTCCCTGTATTTATGTGAAGTTCTATATTTCAACAAATATTCAGCTATTCAAAAGCTCCCCTGGAGTCCTTAGCATGACAGTGCGGAAGGCATGCTTGCTTCCCAGGACTGAGAACTGAGCAGCTTCACTGCGGCAGTGGTGGGCGGCAAACCTAAGTGAATTCTGCAAAAACAGAAGCTTGCGATGCAGTCATCAAAAGAATCATTAAAAAAAAATTCATCAAAATAATGTCCCTTTTTTTCTGCTCAATAAATAGGTTTTTGGTGGTTATACAAGAAATTTAAAAAATGCATGCAGTGACATATCAGGTTCTTGTATAAAGACAATAGTAGACAGGATTCTCAGAGGAAAAACAACCTATAATGGGACTTCAGTAACTGCAAACAGCAAGTGATCAGGTTGAGTATCTTGACTGATTGTAGAGCTGTCACAGATAAATTCTTAAACCTGTGGACTAGCATACTTAAAAAAAATTCCATATTGCCATTCTGCATAGCAGACTCAACATCAACATGGAGATCTGGCTGGCACCGAGGCTCAGGAAGAAAACATTGTGTGCTCGTCATTCTGCTCTTCACAGCTGGTCCCCAAGGACATCAATTTACTGATAACCTCATGAATTTGTGTTTGTTCTTCCAAAGATATAACATTAGCGAGACCACTCAGAAAATTGTTAAGATTACAGAACTTGGACTTCCCAGCAGAACATGAATCGTTTTCTTGGTAAACAAGGAAGGTCTTTATATGTGACCATGACATGGAGCTTTATTTACACAAGCTTTAGAGGGTGCAGGCTCTGGGCACCAGTAAAGAACATTTATTTATTTATTTATGTAAAAAATATTACACAACCCAGCTCTCTGCCTTGCTAACAGAAAAATGTTAGTTTCTTTGGAAACTGAAACAGTAAATTCCATGTCAAATCAAATAGATTCTTAAAACAATAGGAGAGGAGATGATTATAAGATTTTGCTTTTCACATAAATTTGGTCAAGGCACGTTAAGTGGTAAGATTTATCTTCAGATTATATTATGTTGAAGCAGACTCAGATTTCTATACAGATCTGATGCTCCTTGGTAAGATTTACAAATAAAAGCCAGGAATTACACAGCTCCTCGGAAGTCCTGGGTCCCCTCTCCTCATGGTGTCTGAGCAGTCTCCATAGACAGGCCACATTTCCATAAGATGTTTTCCTGGCTATAAAAATGATGACAATGACCACTCGTTCACCAGTACCAGAATGGAGTGAACCTCCTTGTAGCAGGCACTTCTGACCAACACCCAGTTTGAGGAAGAACCACAAGAATCAATAATAATAACTGCAGGAGGCTTCCCAGGGGCACTTGATTCCTCAACCCAAATAATTTAATTTTCATTAAAAAAAATAATTTAGTTTTAATTAAAAAATTTTTTTGTTTCATTGAAACAAATCCAATAGCTATAATGGTTCATTTTATGGGAACATCACCAAGGAAGTTGAAATATATAATTTCTTACAGGATTTATTGCAAGTTGCTGTCGCCCCTGGGTTTCAATTGTAATCTGAAAGACAAAAGCCCAGCAAGTTCTGCCATCACACCAATGGTCCCTGCCTCTTTCTGAATTTCTATTCGAGAGCCAAGATAACAAATGTCCTCAAGAAGGAAGAGAGCTGTCCTCATTTCTGCAAAAAAAACACATCATTTAACAAAGAAGCACCAAGTGCTGTATGTGACAAGAATCAGATTTCCAGTTTCAGTTGATATCCGGGTAAATGGGCTGTCGTTGTTCGGAACCGCAAGGTGCTTGCTTCTGGAGCTGGCCAACGTATTTTGGCCTTGGGAAGCCTGCGCTGGCGCCAACCGGAGCTTGAAGCTCCAGATTGGAGGTCGGGGGCAGTGGGCCCTGCATCCTGGGCAACCACCCATCCCCTAAAGGTAGGCAGACCCTTGGCAAAATTGCCGCGCCTCCGAATCCCTGGCTCCGCCACACCCAAAAGCCGCTCTTCCCCGGCGGACCTGTTTGCCGCATTGCGTCTGCAGCACTGGTACCCGGTGGGCGCGCCGCGCAGAACCCTATAGCCACGGAGCCCATGCCGGAAAGACACGGCTCAGGTTGTGGGCCTCATCGTGCCCTACTCACCAAGGAACAGCCAGAGACAGCACCACGGGAGGCCTCGCAAGCTGGGAGCCATGGTGCGCGGCAAACCAGTCGACCTGCGGATCCCGTCTGCTGCAGACTGCGCCAGGCTGAGAGGCGCGCCACCGCGGGTGGAGGCGGGGGGGCGGAGGCGGGGGCGGGAGGACGCTGCGGCTGCGAAGCCCTGCCCACTGCAGCTCCTGGGCTGCTGGGCCAGCACCTGCCGCGCCGGCCGCCAGGGGACCCTCAGGGTTAGCACGATCAGGCTCCCAGACGGACATCACTAAATGCTAGCAGACAAATGCAGTTCTTTCATTAGGGAGGGCCTCATAGACTCAAGCATCTTTCCCTCTTCCTTTGCCTGGCTCCTGGCCACTCCTGCTTCTGGGTCTGCGGTAAAAAGCCCGGATTTCATTTCCGCATCTACCTCTTCCCGAGATGCCCACACTGGGAAGCCCCTGGGAACAAAACCAGCCTTGCCTGCCTTTGTGAGGACACAAGGATCATACAAAAAAACTGAACAAATGCGGCTGTCTGCAGGATGTAAGAATAGCCCCAGGTCCTGGGACTGGACGGAACCGGGCTCTTTAGGGGTCAGGTTGCCGCTCTGGTGGACTGGATCCTAGGAGGCTAGGAGGGTATCCTGGAAGGAAGCTATAAGAGCCTCCAACAAAATTCTGACCCTAAACTTAGTGTGGAGGAGTTTCTAAACAGGTGATAGAACTGTATTGGGGCTGCTCACTTTGGCAACTGGAGAACTGGTTATGTTGGCACGTGTGTATATGTGGGCATAAAGGGATGAGAGAAGGGCTGCTGGAGCGACAGAGCTGCTGTGAAACCCAGGGGATGAGCAGATTTTAGAAGGCACAGGCCTGTGCTGCAGGTAGAAACTGGAGTTATCAGCTCAGGGCAACTGAGTTAGCCTGAGCTTGCAAGGCTTTCCTGGTGTTTGGATTTTACCTTGCAGTAACAGCCTGTTCCAAGAAGTCCTGGTTGTGGAGTAGATTTATGTTCATTTTGAGGAATGAACCACTGCCCTTGGAGGGGTACGAACCACTGGCCTGGTACAGTGCCACATCTGTTGTAGCAGAAGCTTCACTGAGTGCAGTGCTCACCATGAAATATCTCTGGATGGTTAATATTCCTCATATGAAGAGGGGATATAGGGGCTGGGGTTGTGGCTCAGCAGTACAGCACTTGCCTAGCATGTGCAAGGTGCTGGGTTCAATCCTCACAGCAAAAAATAAATAAAATGAAGGTATTGTGTCCAACTACAACATATATATATATATATAAAATAACAGGGAACACAGCCAGTGGCAAAGACAACTGCTGCCACCTGCTGGCTATGAGCTCAGAAGTGTCAGTTGCCAGGAAGATGTGGTCATCAATCTTTCTGAACACATGCTGGTAGGACATGCAGAGCTTGCATGCCTTCAACATGGTAGCCTCAAGTGTTCTGTGAGGTGTATGGGTTAGATGATGAGGGAGGGCATTCATTCTCTTGACCTAGCACTTCTTTTTCAACCCCAGGAGGATACACCCTCAAGGGTGGCTTGGTTCCCTCCCCATTTATTCATTGAGTCTCTAATATGCGCAAGACAGTGTTAGGTAAACAGGTCCTGCCCTTCAGTTGGTGACTATAGTGGATGACTTCAAAAACCCTCAATGGTAACAGGAATTCTATGATGCAGGAACTACAAAAACAAGGGACAAATGCATCAGACTAAGTGCAAAGGAAGATCTTAGACAGCAGTGGGGTATACACATACAGGGGTGAGAGGAAGACACAGGTCTATCAACAATACCCAAACAAAAGAATCATGAAGAAAAGCAAAGGAATATTACAAATTGATTTTAAATCCAATAATAAAGAGAAACCCTTAAAAGCAGGCAGAGGGGGAAACAAAACATTATATACTATATGAACACAGATCAGGGCGACAAGCATCCTCATGAAAAATGCAAACCAGAAAACAAGGAACATCTTTAAGCGCAGAAAGGAACAAAGCTTCAACTGTTCAACAGTTTTCCATTAGTTGCTGATGCAGAGGAGAAGGCTGACCTGGTGTCCTCACTCTCCATGGGCAACTAAGAGGCCAAACACCAGCCACCATCAGTCTGAATTAGTGATTCTCAAGATAGCACATTTCTAAGCAGTAACATCTTATAGCCCTATAAGTTTACAATATAATATAGTTATTAGAAAAGCATTAACAAACCAAGCATTATCTTGGAAACACTTAGCTTCATCAAGCATCAGATATTCAAATCTCCCAAGGGATTCTTCCTGTTAAAACCAGAATATTGGAGACTTGAAAGTAGCTGAGAAGATGTTATATGTCTTCCTATTTCCCCAAAAGATCTCCCCAAATGAGAAACAATTTTCTAAGGAGTGAAAATAAGAAAATTGTGTGCTCAGCATCACATGGAGAATTTTGGCACTGCAAAATAGCTGAGTAAAAGAGGTTTAGTCACTACCACCAGAGTATAGTTGCACACTCATGCTCTACCCTCAGCCAGCCATACCTTAGTAGAGGGCAAGGGTGGACTGAGACAAATTTTGGGAGACAGAGAGGGACAAGGGCAGAGAGATTACATTATAACACACTAGAAATGAAAATAGTATTCTAGCACCATCAAGGTGAACAAGAGAAAGTCAACTTTATGTAAAATTACTGCTGAAAACCAGATGAAATTTTACACATATAAACCAGAAGACCCCTTCCCCCAGAGATGCTATCATAAATGTGTAACATAACCACACCAATGGGGACCAGGGATAAGAGACCCAACCTAAATCAAGGTCAAAAATAACATTTGACTGTGTAATATAGGCTAAAACAAAAAAAGAACTGTTTACAAACGCTGTACTCCAGTTAGTAAATTGGTCTCTCACAGGGTTACGATTTAAAAGCTGTAATGTCCATATGTGTATACCAGGAATGGACAAATAAGTAAGTATGTTGAGAATAACAGGATCCAGTTTAGTTTTGGTACTAGGGATTCAACCCAGGTCACTTTACCACTGAGCTACATACCCAGTCCTTTTTATTGTATTTTTGTATTTTTTTTTTGAGATGGGGATCTCACTAAATTGTTGCTGAGGCTGGACTTGAATCCTTCTGTCTCAGCTTCCCAAGTCACTTGGATTATAGGCATGTGCCACTGTACCTGGCAGTTTTCTCACTATTGGTGAAAGAAGGTAGAAATAAGGAAGGGACTAGAAATTTAAAGCATCAGTATGAACAAATATATATACTCAATGGACCAAATATAGAAACAAATATAGGTGTGTCTGTGCAAGGCTTAATTTTTTCTCTCTCTCTCACACACACACTTCTTACCTGTATCAATTGAGCCTGAGACCAACTCCGACAGCAATGAGCACACCTTACTGATAAGATCTTAGTTTCTAAATACCATTCTCCATAAAAGGACAGCTTGTTTAAGTCATTCATTCCCGTGCTGGAGCAGGGAATGTTCAAGATGGGACTAAAATAGTCTGCAGTGCCAGAAAATAAGTACTTGGAAAAGGACAGCATTTTCAAAAGAACACAGAACCCAACCTAAAAATAGCCCCTGTTAGAGCTGCAATGATCTGAGGAACAAAGTAAGTAATGACAGTATTGTAATGTAACTCACAGTATTGTAATGTAACTCACAGAACAAAATAAACATCTATGAGTCCCAACTGCTATAAATAAATAAACAAACAAATAAACAAACAAGGAGGAGGAGGAACAGCTTTTCCTTATAGGAACATTCCACATAATACATGTAGAATTAACAAGAAACCTGTGAAACCCCTTAACAAACATCACAAGGTAACTATTTCAGGCTAGATCTGTTGATGGATGCTGAAACCAGTGGGCAAAATTTTTTAGGAAATATATTTGTAAACCTTCAAAGAACTCCCTTAATTACAAAGGAAAGATGATAACACTGGAGAAACTGGCAGAAGCCACTCTAACTTGTTGATCAAGGATAGTATATCCTGCAGAGGATATCCTTGAGTACTCCTATCAAAAATGCATAATCTCAATCTAATCAGGAGAAAACATCAGAAAGGCTCAAGCTAAAGAAGCATTCTGCAAAATAACCAATCAATACTCATCAAATGTCAAGGCCATGAAACTCAAGAAAATGCTGTGGAACTGTCATATGCTGGAGGGGATTAAAAAAAAACCACAATAATCAAATGAAATGTGGCTACCGGATTGATCCTGGAATAGAAAGAGAAATTCAGGGAGAAAACATGAAACTGAATACTGTCTGTGTTTAATAGTATTGTGTCAATGTTAATTTCCTGGTTTTTGATTATCTTATACTATATAAAATTGTGTTAAGTAAACATTAAAGGAAGCTGGGTGAAAGGCATACATAACCTATCTGCAGCATTTTAGCAACTGTTCTGTAAGCCTAAAATTATTGTCAAATTAAAAAACAGTTGTATACTCAGCACTGAATTAACACTGCTCATGTGCCTATTTCTTAGCAGTTCTTTTAACCACTCCTAATTACTCAGGATGTTGCATGTGCATGTGCGTGAGGAAGAATCCTTTAACTCTGAAACTAATGATAGTTTGTTGAAAGCATTTTAGAGTCAAGCTAGTGACCTTACTGTGAATGTATTTCTAAATTTTGGATATACATCATATGTTTATGCATACTAATATAGTTACAGTCTGCAAAGTCTTTGTATTATCAAATGAGGGGAAAATGACTCCTAGTTATTTGTTTTTTTCCTAAGAAAATCACCAATCCTGTTTCCTGGCATCCTTTCATTTCAGACATTCACAGAGCATGTAATCTAAGTCTGCTTCATCATGTCTTTCCTGGGGCTTAAATAGTGAGAAAAGGGCACTTTTCCCCTCAGGATTGTTATTTATTTAATTTTGGGTACTGAGGATTGTACTCAGGGGCACTTGACCACTGACCCACATCCCAGCCCTATTTTGTATTTTTTATTTAGAGACAGGGTCTCGCTGAGTTGC